CGCGGGCCGGGAAATCCAGCCCCAGGCCTCTCCCGGCTCCCAGGCCCCGCGGGCACAGGCCGGGGACTGGGAACTTTTGGTGTGTGGAGAGTTTCGTGACTGCCCTCCCGACGGAGGCGGGCTGCGAGCCTTCTGTCTCCTCTCCCTTCCTCCGGTGGGGGCGGGGCCGCGGCGGGGGGTCTTTTCCTCTTTGTCCCCTGCGGGCAGGGGCGCGCGTCCGGGGGCTGCAGGGTTTGGGGAGTAGCCGGCTTGGGATCGGGGAGGCGTTCCCGGGAGGGCCACCGCTGACACTCAGCACTCGCTTGCGAGCATTTACTGAGCTGATCCCCTTTGCTGGGCTCTGGAAAGCACAACCTTGAAACGGTCGCGGAAAGAAAAGTTTTCCTGCGAGGACCTCAGCTCCTACCTATCCTGGGCTGCTTCCATGTGGCTGGGCTGCGGAGCCGGGCCTGACTTCAGAGTTGAGTGAATTTCCCTTTTTCTTGCTGTAGTGATAACATTGTCTCCACTTCACAGCATTCCTCTACTATGTGTCAGAAGTGAAAAGGCATTTTGTTAAATTATTTTACCGACTGTGTCTGTGTTTGACAACAGCCCACGCTGAAGTTTCTCCCAAGCACCCGGGGATATTTCCTTTGTAGTAGAGTCCTCTTTGGTGGGGAGTGCATTCACTTCGGTGCAGTGTTTCCCATTTGTTCCCGACAGTGGCCTGGCCCCTGTGGGCTTGGGGGCTGCAGATGACGTTGGAAAGTGGCTTGGTCAGCCCTATTTAGCGTACACAGGGTACTCCGGTGGCATCTTCAGTTCTCTCAGAAATTAAAAATAAAAAGCTTTTTAGATTGCTGTTTTGCTTTTAGTATACACTGGAAAAAATAGCATAAATTTGGGCTTTTAAAGATAATTTTGGGGGACGTTTAGGAACCCGGCACAAGGATGGAAGACATTGGCTTTAATAGCTCTGTTATGTTCCTTACAGTTGGTTGAACTCTTTTATTCAAAATCAAATAAAATTAGTGGGAATTGGGCACCTGTTTATCTTGCAAAGCTGACAAAGGGAAAGAAAACCATCTTAATGGGCATTTACCTTTTTTAAGTGTTGTTTATGTGTGACAGTTTATGCTTTAAGTGTTCCGAAAGAGTACTCAAATTGTTCAGGCACTCTGGAAACCAACAAAATACTTTGTGCAAGGAAAGAGAAATAAAGTAATATGCACTCTGCAGTATGTCTAGGCTCCTGAATAGGGAGAGAGTGATCGACATTTTCTTTCACTTTATTAATTTTATGTGATTAAAATTGTTTTACCTACTGTGTCCCATGTTTCATCATGCACAAAACAGACATAGGTTGAACTGCCTATTTGACAGTAGTTCAAATGTTGTTTGAGGCATTCATTCCACAGAAATTTTGAAGCTTTGACTGTGTCCACAGCACTGTTCTGGTGCTGGACATCTAGGGAACCCACTGGCTGTGAGAGGCTGAGCAAGAGGCTGCGCAGTCCTTCAGGTGAAGGGGCTGGTGTTGACATGGGGAGAAGAGGGGCCTCTGGGATGCTGGGTGGCTAAAGCGCAGGGCCTTGGTCACAGACCTGGTCCTTGTTATTAACAATTAGCAGTGGTTGTTTCACAGGGCATAGAAAAGGGAGTGCAGTTTTCTTACGGGTGTCTGGGAAGGTGTCACAAAGAGAAAAGGGGGCCTGTGAGCTGAAGGAAGGGAGGGTGATAGTGACATGGGAGTTGGAGATGAGAGGGAGGGTCAGAGATGGGTCAGGGGTTCCAACACTTACATGCTCTTTAAGTACAACTTAGAGTTCAGTAGGTGAATTTTAACAGGGGCTTTGCAGTATACCAAGTTCAATCATTGGATCCCAAGACTGTTGACCCTCATGTTGCCAGAGCTTGAGTGTCTTCTAGGTCTCCTTTTTCTCGTTTTTATTCTGAAATTGCTAGACAATGATTGAGATTAATTTTCAGTCTTTCTTACTACTTTTCCCATTCTATATTAAGTGATGAGGAAGTGATATTATGTACTTAACACTGTTTTAACTTTTGTTCTCTGTTCCTTACCGGTATTGCCTAATAGAACAAGAGAAATTCTTTATGAAGAATTGGGTGGCTGGGTAGTTGTGGAGTGGTGTTTAGGTTGCTAGGTGACATGTGGTGTGATGAACTCCCATCTTGTGGGGAAAAATGTGGGCAGATCATGTTTATGGCTTTGTATAATAACCAACCAAGCCAAAAATAAAAAATAAAAAGGAAAAGAGAAAGATCCCAACTCTCAAATCACCAAGGCTTTCTCTGCAGTAAACATTTTCTGGTGTGGTGGGGCTAATTTTCTGGCATTGCATCTGGGCTGTTTTCTCTTCAGGTTACACAAATCAATTTTTCTGGATAGTGAAATGTCATGATTTAATACTAGACATGTCCTCAGTGAGTAGATATTTGAAGGCTTGCGCTTAGTTATGTGTGACATTTCTTTTTTCCTTTCATGAAAGATGTTTTTGTGGTTGTGATCACTGATGAGTGGGAATAGCTCTTCATCCTCATCCACCCATCTGCATTAGGAGCCTTGCTGAGGACAGTGCAGTGCTAGACATTGGGAACCACGTTACATGGACCATTCTCATGGGGGTGTAGGATGGGAGGATGGACTGTGTCTGCATCTGTTCTTCTGTGCTTGCGACCTGATACCCGTGATTACAGTGCTGAGCTGCAGCGCTAAGTGTGGGGTTGGTTGAAGGGCTGCTGTGTATAAAAAGTCATGCTGTATGAAAAAAATATAAGATTGAATTCGTGCACTTTTCAAAAAAAAGTATAATCTAGGAGACAGGAAGAATATATAGCAGTGTAAATAACAGTAGGTGGTAGCATTATTGGCACCAGTGTGATACAGTCAGTAATCGCTTCTGCATTTTGGAGGTGGGTACTATCATTATGGGGTGCGTGTGGGAGTCTCATTTAGTCACTAGGATTTGAACTGGGCTTGGTTGGTGGGAAGGCTGACCTTGATATAGGGAGTGCTTGCTAACTGGGTAAGGCACCTGCCTGCAGGGGCAGATGGGCTCTGGGTCTGTAGGTCTGCAGTTGGGGTCTAGGTGTGTGAATCTGCAGAATGTCTGCTACGATTCTGAGAAGTGAAAGGGAGGGCATTCCAGGAAGGCAGTATGGACAAAGGCAATTCAGGCATTCAGCCCAGGGGGTCAGGATCAAACTGAGGAGGACTGAATGCCAGGGCAAGACCCTGGGACTTCGTGCAGTAGGAAGGACTGTGGCGTTTAGCTAAGAGTCAGGGTAACAAGTAGTTCTAGGAGGATGACCTGAGCAACTGAGGTTTGTATGGATAATTTCTTAGCATTTCAGTCTAAATAAATGTTGCTGAGTGACCAAAAGGGGAAGGAGAGAGTGAAGGACAAAAGTGAGGGCGAGGACGTGCTGGAACCCCTTTGCCGTCTGCTTCCACCTCCCTCAAGCCCTCCTCTCAGCCTGCAGGGGAGCTTTGGATCGGGTTTGGTGACCTAGGTTTACAAGCCATTTAACCTTGGGTACACCAGCCCTATAGAGCCCCATTATCTCAAGTGGAATATTCCTTGGCAGGGTTAATGTAAGTATTGAACAGGATGATGAGAGGGAAACTCTGAAGTCCTGAGCCCGGCCCATACTAGCTACTCCATAAAGATGAATGGAATGACCAATATGTTTTATCCACCAAGCAGTTTTACACCCTGGGAACTTTCCCAAGTGTCCTACTATTGCTGCTTGGATTTTTCCCCTTTACTTAAAAAGGCAGCATGTAATTTCATTGAAGGATGGGTAAGAATGTTAGATTGAATGATGTGCAGCACCACAATCAGGAGAACAAAATTGTGTGTTGCATGTGTGTTTGGGCTGAGGAAGTAAAAGCTGCGGGTGTTGGCTTGATTACAGGTTGATTATTGGGGCCTCTGGCTTCTGTCCCCAAGCACATCACTTTAGAGTGATTTAATGGCAACCTGTTGTTATTACAGGTTGAGCATCCCTTATCCAAAATACTTGGGACCACAGAAGTGTTTTGGATTTTTCTGGACTTTGGGATATTTTTGTATATCTAATGAGATAGATTGAAGATGGAACCCAAGTCTAATGTATTGTTAGAGTTTATATATGTTTCCTATGTACCTTTATACACAGAGCCTGAAGGTAATTTTATGCAGTCTTTTTGTGCTTGAAAAGAAGTCTGTGTTAAGTACTTATATGTGGAATTTTCCAGTTGTGGCGTCATGTGGGTGCTCAACAAGTTTCAGATTTTAGAGTATTTGGATTTTGGATTTTTCAATTAGGGTTGCTTGACCTGTGTTTTTTAAAAAGTTGAGTCCATGGACAGAAACTTTTGAAAATGTGCTTTTTTAGTGGCGGGAGACTGTTGATTAGTAACATAATGACAGTCTTGGTTTTTATGAAAAATCTTGTGGTTGGTATGGAATTTTTCTGTGAAAATGTGTATGACTGCATGTTATTCATTTATAAGCGTATTGAAACTTTTAGGAAAATAGTTGTACTGTTGCAGAGATTGAAAGAAAATAGAGGCGAGCATAAAAATAGTGAAATGAAAGCAGCTTTATTATTATTTTTAACATTTTCTGCCTTCTCAAAAAGGAAAAAGAAACTAAACATTTTTGAAAGGCTGATCTTTCTAGAATTCAAGTCACATTGTCCTCTGGTGCTGAAACGCCTTTGTCCTGCGTTCTCCAAGTCCTGCCTTCTGAGCACAGCCTGTCCCTGTAGGGACCCCTTTTGCCTCCCAGCCACTCCCTCTGCAGCCGCTCCACCCCCGGGACTCACAGACACTTCGCTGCCTCTGTTCTGGCATTTTCTGTTTCTTCTGCCTGGAACGTTTGCTCCCTCCTTGCACTCATTTGTGAGTCTCAGCCCATGCCAGCCATCTCTGGGAGGCTGGCTGTCTGTCCCAAGCTGCTAGAGGATCTTTCTCCCTGCCTGCTGCCTCTCCTGGGGACGTCCTGGGTGTAGCTTCTACACCGACTCAGATGCTTGGGCTGTGCTGTGTGGTTTTCAAGTGTATCCGTGTGCCCCTCCTCCCTCTGGGTGAAATGCTTGAAGCGGGTCGCTGAGCTTCAGTCTTAGTGAATAGCCCATGTCTGTCACATTGCAGTCAGAATGTTGAGTAAATACAAAGTTGAGAATCAACATGTTAAACTGGTCTCACACAAAAAATACGCTTCCGCTGAGAGGACTATCATCAGCACTTGGGAATTTAAAGGACTTTAAGGTTTGGTGTGTTTAACATACTGCACAAACAGCTTGTAATGGAAACTAAGATTTAGTGAGGTTTGGAGTACCTAGAAGTTATTCTTTTGTATCAGCTGTCTTGAGGGAGTTCAGTTTGTTTTTCAGATCAAGCAGAGGACCCTCCTGGGGTTCGCCTTGGGCGAGGTTCAAGGCAGGTGGCCAGGGCTGTGTGAGAATCTGGCCCTGGAACACACCTATGCTTGGTCTGGCGCCTCTGATTCCGTCAGTTGAGATGCTTGGCTGAGTGCCAGGACTAAGTAGGAATGTTTAGGATCTGAGATTCTCAGAGAGAATCTGGCGGATGTGAAGCGCTTCTTGGCTTATGGTAGACATGGATGAATTGGTTGTGGAGGGAGTATTTAAAGTCTCACTTAGATGCAAACCCACAGACTGATCCTCCATCTGTCCTGGGAGGTTCTACCTCCCCATAGAGTTGGGTGCAAGTTGGTGATGTTGAGCTCTCCATAGATGATTAGAACCCTCTGTACTTTTTTCAAGGATAGAAATAAACATGTAAGATTGGGCCAGAAGGTGCTTTCTATAGGTAATTT